GTGTGGTAAATGTGAGACAATTGAGTCTTCAATTTCATGAGACAATTGTTTGCAAACAATAATTCACTCAAAAGTCGTTTGTTTTCGTCGAAGAGTTCGTCAAAAATGTCATTACTTTTGACCAAAACTCGTGTCAATTGTTTTGGCGTTAATTTCAATGCACTCTTCGCCGACTGTCTCTCACTTTCAGTGAACGACATCTCAATTAAAACCTGTAATTAAAGCCACAATTAATACAACAAAACACACACTCAATGAGTGGTAAATATTGAACACTCAATATAGGGGTCTATTATGTGAGGGACTGTTCAGTCATTTCTTACATACAAAATACACTCACTTTTAACGCTTATGAAAACTGTATGAAATGTGAGGCAAACTTTTTTCTCGCCTCAACACAACTTTTTTACCATAAGTTTTTTTGTTTGTCAGACAATTAGCAGATCCAGTGCTAATCACCAGCGGATCAGATTCGGAGTCAACACACAATGGGTGGCGATAAGAAGGCTCGTAAGAGGCGTGTGTCCAGCGGTGGTCAGTCGGCCGCGAGTTCGGCCAAAAGTGCCAAAAGTGGCCAAAAGTGTGGCCCAAATGGTGTGGAAACGGTGCGCGTATTGCCCATTGAAATCAATCACGATCTCAAGTCCTCCCGACACGTGTACAACATCGTGATCGACAGCACCGGTTGCTCAGCCGACACCACCGTTCCCGTCAAGATCATCAAGAAGATTGTCCACATTTGACCGCCGATGGCAGACATTAACTATCATTTTAGGGATTCATTGATTTGTATTTTTAACGTATTTTTAACATATGATTGGATTTTAATTATGAATTATTTTTCTTACATTTTTGACACAATTGTAAAACATTTAAATATTACTGAATTAAACTATACTATACTATACTGTAGTTTTGTTTCACTATAGAGATCCTGTTTGGTAACCGATTTATGCCGTTTACAGCCCCACACCCACTGCCAGCTGACATGTGCCGCGTGTGCGGTATAACACAGGCCTCACCCATGGATAGCCCCTCCGCGCCCATCGATTGATACATTTTGAAAGCATTTTAATGATAGTAATGCATAATTATATACTGAATCTGTTTCATACATAACGCACACACCCTATCCTTATCGCCACAGATAGTGTGGTGTTGTTATGTGTATATTGTCTTTAGGGATAACCTGTTTGTTAAAGCTGTGGACAGGATTTGTTAGGAATAAGCATATGCTATGAATCATAGCCTATGATGTAAATCAATACAATTATTTTAAATATATAGTTAGCATATATGCTGTTAGGCTAACAATACCGGCCGATTAACTACCACTCTATGCCCTATAAATTATAATGCAATGGATATTCTGTATTCAAATCATATCACATATACCTGTGATTAGTGTTAAGAATATTCACAATTTCAGTGATTGTATTAATTCATTGACAGATTTTACATACAATGAAAAAGTGTGAATAATTTGATGGCAAAAAATGTGTATTTTTTACAATTCAATAGTAACTTTTCAAAGTAAACGCTTCGTATATTACTGTTATTCAATAATATACCTTTTTTGATATATTTATTTAAAATGTTTATATTTCAAACATAAAATTCATATCTGGTCTAAAATTGGCACTTTAATGACAAAATGGCTTCTTTTTTATGCCATATATTTGAAGCGCAGACCCGTTAATTAGTAATCAAATTGAATGTCTGAATACCAATACCTAAATACAAAGAATAAATGTTTATTTGCCTACACTTTCAATGAATTGCAATGAAGTGTTTTGATATGTTTTGTATGTTTTGTCAGCACTTTTTTTACTCTCCGGTGAAATGTTTTATTGAAAAAAAGGAAAAGCTGTTCATATTGTATGTAAAGGAAGAGCAAAACTTTGTGTTAAACTTTTTAATTTAGATAATTAACATTAGATACAAAAATTATCATATCTTTATTATTAACTAAACTATTTTACACTAACTAATCAATACATTGACTGAAAAATTATACAATAAAAATGATTTTAAATATTAAGTTTATATTAATTTTCTATATTATAGCTTACGCTGAGAGCCTACCAGCGCTACCAGCGATTGACTTATCCGTGTTTGATGTCACTAATTGTGAGTTATAATTACAAACTAAATATAAAAAGTAAAATAAAAACTATGACACATTTATCCTCAGGTCTTAAGAAGCAGTGCTTTGAAGAGTTGGGCTGTTTTTCCACCCAATCGTTTGTGGAAGAAGTGAAAAAACTGTTAACTTCAGGCGATGTGGTCTCTACAATCAAGTCGGCCACCGCTCTCAAGCAAATCCTATCTATATGTCCCATACATCCCGAGGCAATGAACGCCTCACTACTATTATTTACGCCAACATCTAATAAAACTCAATGGTTTAACGCGTACAAGACAGACATGGATCAGTTTAAGGCCAGCGATTACTCGCCGCAAAGACCCACCGCTTTCATAGTACACGGATATACCGATTACTACGAGGAATGCGATGGCCAGGGAATGTGCGCCTGGATGGCTGTTAGTCATAGTCATATGCACATTACATGTATTAATTAGACAGTAATTTATTCATCTATCTCGCTATTCTTGCAGAACATCAAGAACTATTTTCTATCCCAAAAATACAACGTGATAGCCGTGGACTGGAAATCTCCGGCCTCTTCTATCAATTACTTCAATTCGGCGTTCAATACACAGATTGTGGGCGCAATTGTCGACAGAACATCAAGAACTATTTTCTATCCCAAAAATACAACGTGATAGCCGTGGACTGGAAATCTCCGGCCTCTTCTATCAATTACTTCAATTCGGCGTTCAATACACAGAAACACCCGCGTTAACAGCGGGCTAAATAACTTTTTGACTACCGTTGCAGCCCGTGGCTAGGGATACTATATGTAGACCACCCAGTGTCAGACCCGCGTGTCTAGACGCCGAAATGCCCGTTTTTAGAGCAATTGATAACGAATGGGACGTTAAAAGTTGGACACATCACTGGCTTAGATCCGGCCGGACCTGGATTTACGGGCAAAAGACTGGACCCGGAAGACGCCAATCTGGTCACTGTTATTCACACGAGCGCTGGTGTCACCAAGAACAGTTTGTATTTATTACAATAACATTATGCTTTATTAATTATTAAATGGACTGACATATAGCTAATCCGTTTTCGGGCGAAAACCCTCTGGAATCGGTTCAGTTGTTTGGTTTCCTCGGCTGTAGTGATTATTTGGCTCACTTTGACTTCTGGCCAAACGGGGGTTGGATTTTACATTATATCTATTAATTGCTAAAAAACATTAAATTCTGTCAATTATGTTAATTGATACCGAAAACTGTGTACTTGTAGGCAGTGGTCAGCGCGGCTGCGAAAAGATATCGGCCGAGTTTCTTAACGAGATCGCGACCTCAGGATTCAATGGTAAGACAATGATTAACAAAATGCATTATGATTTGCGATTATTAATAATATGTTTGCCGTAAACAAAGCGTTGGCCCAAAAGGCCAAATGTGATCACTCGAGAGCCACAGAATTGCCAACATATGAATTAGAAGAGCGACAACCGGACAGTTGCCAAATGATTGGCTACCAGTGCGAGAGTTACGGCGATTTTAGCGCCGGGAAGTGCGCCGATTGTGGCCCCGATAGTGAACTGTGCCGTCCGATGGAGTTTTGGCCAGAATATTGGCCCAAACGTATCAATACGCCCACAAAGTTATCACTAAACCAGTTATATCTGTTGACTGCCTCAAAGGATCCCTATTGTCTTTTTCACTATCAGATTGTGGTAAATATACTGATATATTGATAATTTATTCAATTTTCAATTAAATTTAAACGTATTTAAAGATACTGATGGAGGAAACATCAGTGGCCGGCACTTTCACCCTTAACCTCAAAACTGTTAAACCAACTGTTGCTGAGATTGAGAGCGATTTGTTTGGCTTTAAGTCGGGCCAGAATTATACCTATTTATACACAGATAGTCAACATTTGGGACAAATAGCCGAAGTAATGGTCAGTTTTGAAGAGAATATCGCCGGACAATTGTCATCGTTTGGTCAAAATTTCAATCCCTTCGCTCCAAAAGTTGTTACAAATGATCCCAAAATAGCAATGATTTCTATTAATTTTATGAGCAATTTTGACAAAAGGTTTGGAAAGTTATTGATTTATTATATTGTATAATAAAATTATGTTTTCTATTTTTTTATTTGATATATTGATATATTTCTTAACTAATTTTATAGTATACGTGATAAATATTCATCGAGATTATATGCCGACGCCGAGACGCCGACAATATTTCATATCAAAACTAATGCATAAAATATTCAAATTATTTAATTATAATATTGTGTTAAATTGTAAACCCATTGACAAATCCAGGTGTTATTGTTTATAACTTTTTTTTTACAAAATATCTGTTATTTTTATCACCGGAAAGGTTTTAAGTTTAATACAATAATTTAAAATATAATTTATTGTAAATCAATCATTTTAAACACCTTTTACTACAAATTTTATGATTCATTTCATTAAATGTTTGATTAAATTTAAAAATTTAAAATATGTTTTCATGTGACGGTAAATTTGTTATGACAATAACCAATGCCAGCCATAAACATCCCGAGCATGCGATTAGCACAGGAAGTGCTATTAGGGTTAGACAGGTATATAACAGGTTATACAGTAATTATCAACTAAATTAATTGTTTGCTTTTACTTAACGCGGCTTTTAATTAGTGACAAAATCATATTTAAAATTCACAGAAAATATGATATTTGACATCAAAATCATCACATTCTTCGCGATCGCCATTAAGGGAATCGCTGGCGTATACGAAACTGAAGAATGTAAGTCCAGGACAAATAAAAAAAATAGTTTACCATTTAATCCAATAATCATAACCTAACGGATTAGGTAAGAGTGACCACTGTTTTGAAGACGTCGGCTGTTTTAATAGCCGGCAATTTTTGGACGAAATCGACAAATACGCGCATTTCATACGAAAAGCGGCAAATCTGGTTCACTCGGACGCCTTCTCAAAGCTAAACAACGACTTCATGATATGTCCGGCCGACCCGACCCACGCCGACGTCCACTTTCGACTCTATACACCCAACTCAACACAGAATGTGATCCTTACGTACAAAGCGGACACTAATGTACTCGAGAACTCGGGCTTTGATCCCGAACTGAAGACACTGTTTGTAGTGCACGGATATGTAGACAAGTATAGGGGTTGCGATGACTACCAGGAATGTCATTGGATGGAAGTATGAATTATAGTTCAATTATTAAATACATTTTTCATGAATTATTAACAAAACAAATACAGAGAATCAAGAATTACTTCATTTCACACGATTATAACGTGGTGGCAGTGGACTGGAGCAAAGTGGGCAGTTCACCCAACTACTTTAACTCGGCGTTTAATACGCGAGTGATTGGCGCTATGATCGCCACATTCATCCGACGTCTGGTCGATGTGTTTCACTATAAGCCGAAACAAGTGGAACTGATGGGACACAGTCTGGGCGGCCAATTGGTCGGCTTTGTGGGCAAACATTTCAACGAAACGGGCCATAAGATAGGCATGATTTCGGGTCTGGATCCGGCCGGACCCGGCTTTGACACACAACATCTCGAGCCAACTGACGCTGAATTAGTGATCGCTGTCCACACGAGTGCCGGCATTTTAAAATCACGTATATATTTATCATACAATTCTCTGCGCAAAATAAAACTAAATATTTGTTATTTATTTCTATAAAAGTGGATTTGTCTTCGTCAGTGAATCCATTGAATTACATTCAAATCGTGGGCTTTACCGGCACTGAACTAAATGTCGGCGACTTTGATTTTTGGCTTAATGGAGGTTAATTTATAATACTATTAACATGTTTATTGATACACGAAACTAATAATTTTATTTTGTAGGTAACGGACAGCCCGGTTGCGAAGAGAGTCTAGATGCTTTTAAGGCTATAACCGGGGGTTTACTCGGTATTGTAAATCAATTAACTATATTTTGTATATCATATCAATATGTGTTTTACTAAACAACACAGCATTTGGCAATCGTATGGCGTGTTCACACATGAGGGCCACTGAATTGCCGATCGCTGAACGCTTATTAAGAGACAATACAAACCACACGCCAGAGCAGGAAGAGTGCCAATGGGTTGGCTATCAATGCAAGAGTTATATAAACTTTCAGGAGGGCTTGTGCTCGGATTGCGGCGATGATGGTAAAAAGTGCAAACTTATTGAGTATTTGCCCGAGTTTTGGCTTAAACCCGATAATTTGGTTGACGTACAGGAAAATTACCCCCAAAATTTATATATGCTAACCTCTGGCACACCTCCCTATTGTGTGTTTCACTATATGATCGAGGTATTTCTTATATACTGTATTATCTAGATAAGACTGTATTAATTACATACCATGTATTGTCTTCTAGTTGAAAATGGACGACACCGTCAAATATGAGGGTAAAATTGAGTTCAAACTGAATGGCACACAAATGGTGACATTTAAGAGAAAATTTTACGCCTATCCCAACACAACCACATATAACTTCTTGTACACCAGTCAACAACATTTGGGACAAATCACTGAAATTGATATCCAATACGAAACAACACTTATCGGTGATTTAGTTAAGGCTTCGCAGATATTAAATCCGTTTACATTTCTCAATGAGATTAAGAAAGAAGACATCAATATCTCAAACATTTCTGTCATTTTTATGAGTAATATCGATAAAAGGTATTTAATTGTTACAAATATGTGTTGAATTTAAATATATACGTATATATTTAATTATAATTAAATTAAATAGCGTTCGAGACGGCTATTCATCACATCTGGTGCCAAACCCAAGCAAAAAGTCTGAAGGAGGGTATCATTTCATTGTGGATAATAGTAGTAAAAGTGGTAAAAGTGGAAAAAGTAACCGACTTTTCTGATCAGAAAAAACTCATTTAAATTCACCCATCATTTAATTCTCATTTGTGTTGATAATTGTTAACCGTTTTTGCAATTTAGATTTGCATTCAATAAATTAAATTTTATTGGTTAATTAAGTTAAATGATTCAGTGTGCTATTTAAATACATTTGTATATTATTGTTTTACGTTAATGTTTGTTTGTTTCATAATGTTAAAAGTACTTAAATTGTACTGTTACGTTAACAAAACAATGTCAGAATAAACCAACTTCAGGCAATGTAATTGACATTTGATTTTACCTGTTAACTACGGGATTTTAATCACGATGTAGTTTATGAATGATGTAGTTTATAGGATCGTTCGACATTTTGAGCTATCAAACCATCACTTGTTCTCCAATTTGGTTAAATCTCCACTTTTTAAGGACATACAATGTATGTATAAATTACTGCAATGAACAATATTTAAAGCATCAAAGTATGCATTTAATACGAGGAGACAACAGTGGCAATGATGGCGACAAATATTACATACCTGTCATCACATTTGTCAATGGATTCGTCGACAATATCATAGATGTCTTCAATATTAATGTTATCGTCGTTAACAATATTGATAAAAAGGCGTCGATTTTCTCGATATTTCTAATAATCTCTACATTATATTAAAATATAAGATATATTAAAATGAATTTTATTTTAATATAAAGTATACATTAATGCTATTGTTTTAATATCATTTGTAAGAGTTAGTCATCCCATTTGATTCCGGATTCAGACAATTAATCGGGCAGTGAATAGCATTTTTCAATAAAGGGATAATCCATTAAATAGTTAACAAATATAGTAAATTTAAACATCAAACAATTATAAATACTAATTATTAATAAATTTATATCTATCATGTTCGTAGAGTACTGGTATATTTGAGTTCATGGTAGGAAATCTACTTTGTTATGCAATCTTCCTGTGATTTTATTAATAAAACTAATGCATAGATTTATAAATATATTTAATTACATAAGTAACTAGCTGAAGTTAAAATGAACACACTAGAACAATGCTAAACATACCAATATTAGCTTATATAGAATGTGCCAAATGTTAATACAAGTATGTGATGCTTATAATCGCACCATTTCTAATAAAAATAAATCCAATTGCAGTACGGCTATCCAGGCGTAAAGTAGTGTTACCATATGTTAACAAATTTTAAATTAGAGGCTTATCCACCGATTTGATGGATATAAACAAGTGTTGGTAAAATAGTTTACCAGTAAAAAATCACTCTGGAAACTCTCTACATAAAAATTAACATGATTTTTTAAATATACAGATTCACTATTATCGGCACAGGTTTAAAAATACATTCAAAAAATCCTTTTTTGCGTAAATGGTCTGACATTTGGTGTGATTGATGGGCGCGCGTATGGTATGGGCACTGATAGGCTCTCCTCCCGAGCATAAAGATTTTGAGTGAAAAATCACAACTTGGTCTTCTTATTCTGTTGTCTGTCGCTGGAAACGACACGTTATTATTCATTAGTTAATTAACAATCACTTTAAGTATGGGTTTTAGCATAGAATCCATACTTTTAACGTTGGCTGTGATTATCGTAAGCCTTACGAGAATCGATGCATTCTTCGAGACCACAGATTGTGAGTATAGAGACGAGAGATGTGTATAATTGCAAAACGAGAATTGCATTCATTAAACAAGAATGCAATCAATTATTAAACATAACGATCACTTTACTGACACATCAACCCCTTAACCCCCCCCCCTCTCTGGTCAGGTCTGAAGAGGCACTGTTACAAAGACGTGGGCTGTTTCCAGAGCGGGGCATTCATACGAGATATGGGCAAATACGTGCCACACGCGCGGCCCATCATCAACGCCATGAAGGACAACAAATTCCGTGTCGTGAACAACGAGTTCATGATATGCCCCGTGAATCCGGAACACGCGGACGTCGAGTTTATCATGTTCACACCCGAAGCGGTCAACAATAGTATTAAGTTCACATACAATCCCAGCAATCAGTCGCTGTTGGGCTCATCATTTTCGCCCGACAGGAAGACACTATTCCTCGTCCACGGCTTTATCGACGGGTATAAGGGTTGCGACGATTACGGCAGTTGTCACTGGATGTCTGTACGGATCATACATTTTATTGCTTTTAATTGCAAAATGATCAATATAATTTTGGGCTACAATTACATTTGCATTATTATTATTATTATTTGTTAATTATAGAGAATAAAAGACTACTTTGTGCGATACAACTACAACGTGGTGGCCATCGACTGGCATAAAGTGGGCGTTTCGGTCAACTATATGTACTCGGCGTACAACGTGCGAGTCGTGGGCGCAATGGTCGCCAACTTTATCCGCCGAATCTCAGCCGTCTATAATTACCCGCTCAGCAAAGTTGAAGTGATGGGTCACAGTCTGGGCGGACAAATGGTCGGCTTTGTGGGCAAACAATTCCCGGGGCCCGAGAAGATCGGCCTAATCATGTCGCTGGATCCGGCCGGACCCGGCTATGACAAAGTCAGCATCGAACCGACCGATGCCGACTTTGTAGTCGCCGTACACACCAGTACCGGCTTTTTGAAATCAGGTAAATTTATTTGATTTATACTACAATGTGGTAAATACCTGTCAAATTGTACTTATGTTTTGTCCATTCAGTCAACGTTAACAGTCTATTCGAAGTGAACCCATTAGAGTCGGTCCAGTTTTCCGGTGTGACGGGCACTGAGAGGAGTGTCGGACACTTAGATTTCTGGGTAAACGGAGGTCAGTAGTGATGTCTTTACATATACATTACATCATTAATTAAACCGGTGATATTATATACGCACAAATCAATGGCTATTTGCAGGTAATGGACAGCCGGGCTGTGAGAAGACCACTGCCAGCTTTTTCCACGATATGTTGTTTACCGGATTAATGGGTTTGGTTTGCACTCAATTAGTAAATGACAGTCAGTATTAATAGCTGTATGATTGATCAAAACAGGTGCGGGTAACCGTGCTGCATGTTCCCACATGAGGGCCACTGAGTTGCCCAGCGCTGAGGGCATAGCCAAAGCTGAACACACGCGGTGCCAATCGGTGGGCTACGAGTGCAACAGTTACCTAGACTTTCAAATGGGCAAATGCGGCGACTGTGGCGTTGACGGCGGACGGTGTAAACTACTTGAATATATGCCCAGCGAGTGGTTGCTCAATGATAACAGGGCCAAAACGATGGACAAATACCCGACCAACTTATACTTCCTGACCGACGCCACCGCTCCCTACTGTGTATTTCACTACCAGATTGTGGTAATTATTATGGAGTTTATTAACTATTATAACATTTACACAATATTTACATAAATCAATGAAAAAAATTTAACAAAAAACAAAAAATTATTAACTAAACTTGCTTAATTAACACACTGCCCTTTGTGCCACCCCTGCCCTCTCAATGATAGTTGGACATGGCTAAACTGAAATACGACGGCACACTGTCGGTGACACTGCGGGGCCGTAAGACAATACATTTCACAATCAATAAGCCGTTGGCATTCCAGGGTAGGGACCGATTCACGTATCTGTACACAGATGTGAATCACCTTGGTCGCATCACGTCGGCCACCATCAACTTCCGGAAGACAGCGCTCGGCACTTTCATCAAGGGCACAGTTGTGCTCAATCCGTTCACATCGGTGTTGGGTATAATGAAACCCGACATCGATATCAAAGCAGTGAACGTCAATTTTATGAGTAATATAGACCCGGAGTATGTATTCCACTAATTATAATCAATGCAATTTGTGTGTTCAAAGTGTACATGGTTGTTTTTCATTACTATAATATAGTGTACGAAAAACATATTCATCGGAACTATTGCTGACCAATTCGGACCCAATGACCGACACATTTGATTTTAAAATTAATGAATTGCTTATGCGATAATTATGTTAATTAATTAATTAATCAATTTGTATAATTAATTCATCAAATGATAGTTAGTATAAAATAATTAGAAAAAAATAACTTATAAAAATTTTTATGAAAAAAATTGTATAAAAATGTAACGAATGTTTGCCTAAAAAATAAAATAATGTAAAATAAATTAAAAATTTGCTTTTAATTATGCTTTTTTCTGGACATATGTTAACTATTATTTGGTTTTTAAATAAAACCTTTTGTGTGTCTGACAGCAAAAGAGATGATTATTTTCAAAACCAGACATTCGTTGAGTTAAACATTTTATTGGTTTATATTTAAAAATATAAAAGTTATATAAAATAGTTTTAAAAATTGTTAATACAATGTTAAAAATATTATATAAAAACCACGAGTAATTTAAAATCGTACCATATTTATAACATGATGTTTTCTATGCTCCCTAGATAATTTGCAGCCTTCACATCAAGCTAGTCTGAACATGGTTACTTTTTATCATCATTATTCAAATAGTCGTTTACAATTTCACTGATTTGTTGCCAATTTATTGTCAAAAAACTTTTGTGATTGCCTTTCATTATATGTGTTATACATTTGCCGCCAATTATCTAAAAAATAGACAAATTTCTTAAAATTTTTACAACAATTATAAAATAATTAAAGCATTTATTAGGTATAAAAGAAATCAAACCCATCATGGGAAAACAATCTAACCCTTTATTCTGTACCTAATTTAGACTGTAGTTAGTCATAAAAGTGCATAAGTTTCTAGCATTTGGTCTTTTATAGAAAACTATATCAATGTAAATTTTTATCACATGGTAATTATTAATTAGATAATCGCTTACTTGAGATAATCCGTAGTCATGTTTAATGAGATCCTTATTGTTAACGATATTGTCTTCGGCTCTAATCAAAAGCAAATCGTTTGCAAACTTCACGCCATTCTCGCCGCCAAAGCGTTGTTTATTGCAAACACTATACGTGTTTAGCATTAATAACTTGTTTGAGAAACTCTTGGCAATGAATTCAACCGATTCTTCGGTCACACCATTCATTTGATCCATATTTTTGCGCATCGATGACAGAAAAATTTGGGACACCTTTTCCACCCTTTCCTCGGCCGGTGTCTTCTCCAGAGTCTCTCTGACGGACTTGTAGTCGACGGACACGTATTGGGCGAGGAATGTCATCAGAGTCTCCAACTCTTGGCTCTTATGGTCAGACAATTGATACTTTTTCATCACTTCGTCGGCATATATGCCAAACTGAACGGGCGATGAGTCCAATAGTATAAGTCTGGTGTCGGCCGACAGTTGTTGCGGCCGTTGCTGTAAAAGGACGGCCATCTCAACAATTGATACTTTTTCATCACTTCGTCGGCATATATGCCAAACTGAACGGGCGATGAGTCCAATAGTATAAGTCTGGTGTCGGCCGACAGTTGTTGCGGCCGTTGCTGTAAAAGGACGGCCATCTCATAGGCCACACATCCGCCAAACGAATAGCCCATCAAATCGTAATCGTTGCCCAAATTCTTCAGCTTTTCGTCGATTACGTTGAGATAATGTCGAGCCGTGTCTTCAATGGTAACCAATGGCCCGCAATCGTGAGTCCAATTGAGACCGATTACTGGCCTATCGATAGCGGCGACCAAATCGTTGAGCAAACCGTACGACCCGTCCAGCGGTGGCAGTAGTATCACCGGTCGTCCTGTCTTTCCCTCATTGATATACTCGACACTATCGGTCGCAACAGTGAACGTAAAGTCATTGACCGGCGAGTCTTGACTGCTGAACGATTGACAACTTTTGTCGCCATTATTATTATCATGATTTTGTTGATCAATTGCGGCGATTCGGCGGACAGTCAATCGCCTGATGTCCTCCATCGACAGCACACAGTCGTAATCCCTTTCCAGTGTCTGTTTCACCTCAACCGACATCAATGAGTCCATCCCGAGTTCGCCGAGGGTTACGCTGGCGTCCAAACTGGCGTAGTCTTTGAGACCCAGTATATGGGCGATAGTCTTCATGAGACTACCCTTCTTACCACTCGCTTCCGTCTTATGGTCAGCCCTAACCACCGATGAGATAACTGAGTGGTCATTGGCCTGAAGGCAATAGTCCAAAGTGGCCAGACATGAGTGCATGCGCTGCGGTAACGTACCGCCGATGACCGCCTCATTGCCGCCCATAGTCTCGGCCACAACACCGACGTCGCCGA